GATGCTGGTTTGGGTGCCGTGGGCGTGTGGGGAGACGCGGGGAAGCCCCTGAGCGTGTCCCGGGCGGGGAGGGGTTTAGGCCAGGTACCCAGGGGTGCGGGGGGTGCTCCATGGCAAACGAGCTGTAGCTTTATTAAAAGGCTTTGTTTGTGTTCATCTCGGTCTGCTGTGTGTTGTGCAGCTGGGACACGTACAGCATGCGGCCGTTACTGTAGAGAACGTAGGAATTCCTGTGATATCTGTCATGGTTCAAGTCTGATTTTAAAATATAAATAAAAATCATTGCACTGTGTCTAATTTCGACAGTAAATGCTTTCAGAACAATCGAGTGAATTCGGTGAAAAACATAGTTTCATAGGGTATTGAAAGATACATAAGCTTTAGATTTAGCGTGAAACAGTGTGTCAGTTGTCCTGGAGTTTTTCCTGGATGATACTAATTTTGTTAGTGTGTAATATTGGGAGAAACACGAGGAGTTGTGAGGACAGCTTCTCTTGGGTATTGCCATCAGTGGCAGGTGCTACCTGCCAGGAGCACTGGGTGTTTGCCCTGTGTTCCAGGTCTAGCTCTCTTCAGCTGACAGGGCAGAGGCAGTCCCAGGTGAGGGCTAGGGGGAGAGCTCTTACTCGGATACACATGGGCTCCTGTATAGTTTTGCTTTTTGGGTAAGTTTATAACTCAAAGTTTATAACTCAAAGGGCTTTTTCTTGCCTCTGTGCTGCTGTGAAGTTGGGAGATAACCCCATCTGCTGCATGGTGTGGCTGCCATCTAACTTCAAGGTGGTCCATGTGCTGCTACTAGTAGTATGTCAGCAGTTTGGGAGAGCATGTTGACAATAAACTTCATAAAATTTAATATAATACATGATAAATACTTTCTGGGGTTTTATTTCTTAAACTTCGTGTTTCTATAAGGAACTAGATATCAAGTGACAAACAAATCTCACTAATCTTTTGTACCAAAATGGTTAATAGTACATTACAGTTCAGAGGAAAGCCTAATTCTTGCCTATTCAGTCATGATTTAATGTTAAGTAAACATAATTATAACTCTTTTACATAACGAAACAACTATTGGTTTACATTTCCATGCCACATAGAAGTGTTGTGAATGGCAGTTGCTCCTCAGGGAGATTTCTGAGCAGGTAAACTAATTATGTAACTGAAACAAGGTGTTTTTATAATCTCAGCCTTTTGTACGTTGTTTCTTACAAACTAGGAGACCCTTGACTCTTAAAAAAAATAATCATCCCATAACCATGCTGTAAATAAATAAATTATTTCAGGGCCTGGGCAGGTAGAAGGGTGAGTCTGAGCTCTTGCCTTGAAACTGCATGCACCCTCCATCAGGTGTTCATAGAAATTAAACTGAAATGCCACTGAACTGATTTCGGGTGGTTGCAGTGGTTTGCCTGCTAGTTAGGAATTTTCCATCAGAAAACTGTTTTTGCAAGTTCTTGGCAAGAAACTTCAGTTTTTTTCAGAATGGCTTTGTTGGGTAAACTGAAACAAAAGCTCTTGCTCTTGAACAGCTTGCTTTTTCTATTTTGCCTCCTGTTTTGACTTCTTCATTAACAGATTTAGTAAGGAGCTTGGAGAATGAGTTACCACAGGGCCAAAGAACAGTTTTAAGTGGAATATTTTTAGCTCACAGAAGTTACCTTTCACAGAACTTTTGATTCTTGTTTTCATGCCAAATAAAATTGATTTTTAATGGGAACTCTGACAATTTTCTGTGAAAGGTAAGGCTGGAAGGTAACCTGTTTTCTCCATTCAAACCCTGGATTTCAGGCTGCACTGTGTGTGTTGTGTTTGAATACCAAGCAGTACCCTTACACTAAAAAGAAGTTGTAACTGTTGGATTCAGTAAATCTAATCTTTAAACATCATGTCATGGATCCCTTATATTTCTCCTATTTCACTGCCTATCAAGTGGCAACTGTTTGATCTCTTGTGGGTGTAAATAGAGTGAAATGTCTTTAAAAATAGTAAATTATTGTCTCGCCATTGATACTTGATGTTTTAGAGAAGGAGAGTCAATGCATTCCTCTTGGCAAAAAGCAGGGTGATTCTGCCAATTCCTATTGGCTTTTATTTTGCAGTATAAGCTTTGTTTATTTTTTTATTTACAGCCAGATAAAAGCTATCTAAAACTTACGTGTCTGAATGGTGCGTTTTAAACTGGAGGATTCTGATAGTGAAGCACCTTGAAAGTGCATTAAGATTATCAGTCTTTAGTACAAGGTAATAATATGTCAGATTAGTTTTAAGAAATTGTATTTGTGTAGTGTTTTTGTTCATTCCAGGTTAGCAGCTGAGACAAGAAGATACAATGCAGTGACTTCTTGTAATTTGGGTCTAATTACAACCTCACATTTGGATCTGCTTGGCTGTCTACTTGCTCGGTGATTTTTAAGGCCTGGGGATTGTAGGATTGTGGCTCAAAATTTTTATTTTAATGACCATAAAACTTACTTAATTTCTGCAGTCACATTCATTAAGTGCTGATCAATGACTGTTGATAACACCAATGAAACTTACTTGAGGAATGAATAGAACTAAAGTGGCATTGAGAAAGGAGCTCATTTTATATCCAAATCATTTCAATGGATATGCTCCTTCCTGGTTAGAAGGTTGACTGTGGTCAAAAGTCTCAGGGCTTTAAAAACTGGTTTTACTGTATGTTTAATTTAACCTCTCCTGGAAGAAAGTTCAGAACTTATTAAATGTTAACACTGATAAGGTTTATCAAGATACTGTATCTTTTTAATTCTGTTTTATCTATGGCATTGAAGTTGGTTTAAGTTACTGGTTAAATGCCATTTATAAATTTGTTCTGTGGAATGATGTTTGAAGCAATATGCAACCTGCAGCCCTTCTGAACATGATAAATTCCCACAGAAATGATCAGTCTTAATTTTTCAGTTATTCTAAAGACTCAATATGATTAATTAAAATAATGAATTGAAGTAGCTGGGACTTGGGGGAAGTGCTCTTCCCCCAAGTCCCAGCTACTTCAATTCATGATTTGGTTACGAATCTCTGCCAACAAGCTGAAAGAGTTCTTACATACCTGCCTCTCAAGTGCTTTGTCTTGAAATGATAGCTGTCATAGCCTTGGAAACCGAGCCTGTGTCAGGAGGTGCTTCTGGATAGGAAGGAAATGGCCTTTGCATTTGACGAGTGTTTCTTTCCACAGCGATAATTCGCAGGTGTTCCAGGCTAACGTTCTGCGAACCCGCAGGAACAGCACCACAGTTATGAATCGTCACAGTCTGGTAAGAAAACTATTAGACCAACCGCATTAGGTCCAAAGCAGAAGTGTGCAAACAGGATTAAAGAAGCAAATGAGGTTGTAGGCTGTGAAACTAATACCGTGTTTTCAGAAACAAGGCTCTAGACTGTGACATTAATACGCTGTAGCTATAGTGAAATGTTATATATAGATCATTTGGCCTCAGAGTACTTATATTTCGTTGTGATCATAACTTTGTTTATAAAATGCAAGCAGATGTTCTAAGATAGAGTAAGAAAGGTAATTAGCAGGGAAAACTAATTACATGGAGGTATTGTTGGTTCAGTAATCAATGTGTTAATTGTTTCTGATGTTTAAAAAAAAAAAAAGGCAGTCATGCTCTGATTGTAAATTGTCTTTTAGGTAGTAATACACACATACAGAATACACTGATGTTATCAACAACTGGTGTAACAAGATAAAACTGGCTGATAGAACATGACTCTTGAGACTCCCAGAATGGATAATTCCTTATCTCTTAGAGACGCTCACTCGTGATTTCAACTTTTGTCAGACTTGTTATTACAGCTCCCCGAATCTGAAGTTTTAAAATATTAATCTAAACCCATGGTGCTTCAACCCAGAGAAAATATTACATATCTTGTGTTTTAGTATTGTACAAATTGTGGTAGAAGGGTGTGAATTTAACTGATTTAAGACACCTGCACAGGATCACTCAGACGGTGTGATTTGCTCACTCTTCAAAGGTTAGGGTGAAAGGAATTTTTGGTCCAACTTCCATGTATAACCAGAAATGTAACTTTTCTCCTAGGAAAGCCTTAAGAAACAGGTAGACACAGGAAAACATCCATCTGTGTTCAGTTGATTATTAATATTTTGGAAAAATTAAGCTATGTTGGGGTGGGAGGGGAGTAGTATCAGTTTTCTTTTAAGTATGGGAAACGAAGTCCCTGTAATGCCAACAGCAGTTACCCTGTTTTTCTTAGTTACCTTTTGAGGATGCTTTAGAAATAACTTGTTAGCCCCATGTTACTAGTTGAAGGATACTAGTCTCCTATTTTGTTGAATGATGCCCTTTAGCTAAAATCTCTTTTAAAATCAGGACAGATAACTACTTCAGCAAAGGTTTGCATCTGTAACAGAACCAGGATACTTACATCAGAGTCTGGAGAGATACGTGGAAAAGATTTTCTCCTGCTAGGATATAAAACCTGATAGAATGTATTGTGGTAAAGATTTCTTTACACAGTCTCTTCATATATATTTTTAGGGTTATGCTTGTGGTCAGACAAAAGGAGAAACAAACAAAGGTGAAAGTTTATTGTGTTTACTTCTGGAAGATCCTCAGTTATTGGGCAAAAAAGATGCTGATGTAGGGCACGTCGCCTGGAACTTGCTGGGAAGCAGGAGCTAGTTCACTGATGGGCTAGTTCTTCTGGCTGTCCCCAAGAGATGTTGCAGTCTTCTGGCTGAACCAGTGTTCCCCTCTTCATGGGATGATGTTCTTAACCCTTCACCTCACTTGAAGGTTATTAAAAAAGCATCCTGAAAGGTAACTTTCTTCTTCACCCCCAGCTGGCCAGGTGCTGACAAAATATAGTTGAAATTTCTACTTATACTAAAAAACAAGTGCTCCATTGACTGCTAGGTCAGTGCCTTGTATGGTCTGTCTTTTGGTTCTGTTGAAGATGGCAGGAAGGATGGAATTGGAAAGGAATTTAGATGTTATCTCATCCTTCTGTGGTCTTAAACCAGGATAATCCATAGAGAAATGATTCTGAAAAAATAATTAAACTTGCAGTACCGAGGACCCTAAGCAACCTCATCTGGTATTTTTCCTATAGCAAAGTCCTAAGTGTAGTTTTTATGACATTTGAGATATTCTAAGGAGTTATACAACATGTACTTTGATAAATTAAATTTTACAATAAATAGGTGTTAAAATGTATGTCAAAAACCACTTCTTTGTATTTAGGAAAGCTAATCCAAGTTTTATTGCAGTGTAAGCTCTAACAGAGTTAAAAGATTCAGTAAGTGACTGAAACTTTGTTAATTTAGTATTATAAGTACAGCTAAAACTTTGTTTTGTTAAACTTTGTGGAAAAAAATTGATTAGTATTTGTTTAATCTGCTCTGTGTTCACTGTCATGAGAACCATGGGAGTTGCTAAAATGCTCTGATAGCTGAAGGTCATAGTCTATCTAGCTCCATCTTCAGGGCTGTCGTGATTGTCCCAGTTGCTCAGCTGAACTCTAAAATTTTTCATTTTTGAGTAGCTTCTCCAAGTCTCAGACTCCAGCTCTTTTATAACAATCACTACCGGGGCAGCTGTGCCATTTTAGCTGGGTCTTAATCTGCAGTTTGCTGACACTACATGTCATTACCAAGGAGGGGTCAACTAGGCTCAGTATCTGCTGTTTATTTCCTTCCAGGAGAGATCAGTGGCATCTAGTGAGTAAATGTTTTGATGGTTTTTGTTCTGTTTGTGTGGTTGGGGTTTTTGTTTTGTTGGGGTTTTTTTTAATCAAAGCATTTTAGTCTGTGGTTAGGTGTTTAGGTACCATTCCAGCAAAAGCTTACTTCTTTTTTTAAAAAGCTAGATGAGTTTTGTGTTAGTGTTCACTGTGTGTCCCCACAAATGCTTGTGTTGGCAGAAGACAGAGGGCACTGCAGGGATGGCAGTGGAAGGGCAGAGGCCCAGGGGCAGGTGGCTGCTTACTTTGGCTGTGCTGCCTGCCAGACTGGCACTTCTGAAACTTTACCTTCAGTGGAACAGCTTATCTAACACACCCGAGAAGGGAGGGAGGGAGGGGCAGGTGTTTCTCTCCCATATAATGTTTTTTTTACTGAGCTTTGTGCTTTCTTAAAACATTGGGGATTTGAGTGGCATAATTTTAACAAATGTGTTTAATCTGCTTTAGCAAGTGTCCTTTCAAAGTGACCAAGGTTTGTTTTCTCAAGAATTAAATCAAAGGACTGCAAACAGGGGACAAGTGAGTTTTAAGCATTGACAAAACAAGGATCATGACTTGTTAGAGACAGGATGTGGGATCCTCAGAGTTAGTAGGTTTAGTTAGTGCATTAGATCCTACAGAGGAACACTTAACTGTTGTCTTATAATTTTTATTTTACACTGACCCAGTGGTTTCATATATATTCTGTCAATGTCAAACCTTAAAGTATGTGGATCACAGTCATAAAATTAGAATATAATGAGTGGAACAAATGCATTTCTACTGTGGAGTGACAGAGTGAATAGTTAGCAATGTGCTATTGTCTAGATCCTTTTCTCTGTGTGAGAATCAAGGTCAACTCAAGATCCACATTGGCTGGTACAGCTTGGAGGGATTTTTGGGAACCGATAATTCATAATACTGAATACTGACCTAAACTGGACTTAAGAAGTAGCAAATCAAAACATTATAGCTCTTAGACTTTAGGAGTGTGTATTTTGATGACTGAATTCTGGCACAGATATGACACATTCTCTGTGTGAGTCTGATATATTTTGCGAGAAGAAGAGCACGATGTCTTGATGTTTGGTTTTTTTAGAGGGAGGATTGTGGATATATGAAGCATTAATAACCTCTGATAACACAACCTTTTGTGTAAGACAGCAAAATCTCTGTTCTCTGTGGCACTGATTAGAAGATGGTGCAGTAAATCATAGAATCCCAGACTGGTTTGGGTTGGAAGGGACCTTAAAGCTCATCCAGTTCCAACCCCCCTGCCATCAGCAGGGACACCTTCCACTAGACCAGGTTGCTCAAAGCCTCACCCAGCCTGGCCTTGAACACTTCCAGGGAGGGGGCAATGGTTAACAATGTTTGGTAGTTCTCCAACTTTAGCATAATGAAGAGCTGTAGTAACGTTTTGTGAAGCAGATGAAGCCTCATACTGCATAAAGTATATAAACACTTAGTAATAATACGAACCTTACTTGCTGAACATACATCCATTTCAAAGACACCATGTTTTTTGGAGGAGTGGTCAACTTACAAAGAAGTTAAATCTCTGCTCAAAGCTTTAGCTTTGAATTTTTGGTCCCTGATAGGGTGATAACAAAGTCACCTGAGGGTCTGACACTTGAGAGGTGGGAAATATACGAAAGGAAATTATATTTTGAGAAAATAATCACTTCTAATTACTTGGTTTTGAGTATGCAGCTTTAGATCATACTATTCCAGTGAGATCTTGATGCAAAACTGACAGGATTGTCTGAAGACCATTTTTAGTGACATCCTATCTGATTTCAGCAGAATTAGTGAAGCTTTTGAGAAACCATGAGGAAGGTATTTAACTCTTTGTTAGCCTTCTAGTAGCTGACTTTTCCACCTGTCAAAGTACTCGTTAGGCAGACAACAATCCAGAAACCTTTTTGCACAATGTGTTGTTTTGGCTTTGTATTTTTAAAGGATCTTTTGGGGACCCTTCTGGGTCACTTAAATGAAGATGCTTGTGCAACCACATGTATTAAGGGTGGCAGTGTGCTACTGGAAAGCAGCTTCATCCTGTAGGGAAGGCTGCAAGTTCCAGTTGCCTGGAAATGAAGTGAAAGCCAGGCTGGTACCAATTAGCATCTGTAGGCATACAAAGCAGTATAATATGGAAATGCAGATTATAATGTTCTTGCAAGTAATTAATGTAGTTTATATATACTGAGAATGTTATAAATTGTTTGGGTTTTTTTAAACTACCATTGGGTTGGGTTTTTTTTTAGTTTGGGATAGCAGTATGGAGTGGTAACTAACATTTCTACACCTTTCCTTCCCTTCTCCTGTAGTTTCTAAGTGTGTCTCAGTTGTATGTGGCTTTGTTTTGCAGTTTGTGCCATCATCTCCTATCCGTATTCCTAGCAGCCGTCTTCATCAGATCAAACAAGTAAGCACAGATTCTAATTTTGAAAGAAAAATTAAAGTTTTTACAGGTTTTTTTTGTGGTCAGTGTGTAATGGCTGTAGATTTTAGTTTGGAACTGTGGTGTGGAGTCTGCTGCAGTCTTATCACTTCAAGGTGTTTTCAAAAGTAAAAGCTGTATCTTGTCTGCAGAGTTCTAAATTTCCTGCAGGAGAAGGAAGGCATCTTATACTGAGAAGAAGATTTGAGCAGAAAGAGAAATTTTAAAAGGGAAATTTTAGAAAGGAAACCTTTAATGTAAACCCTTAGGGTAAAGTTTCACCAAGTTTTTGGCAGTGGTGCCAGCATAAACATTCAGGGCCAATAACAAAGTGTTCCTTAACTTGTGTTGGCACAAGACTTTAGTGCAGCCAGAAAATGAACAGGATAAGGCAGCAGTCTGTCTGAAAAAGAGTTTGGACTCTTCCAGCTGGGCTGTTTTTCATCTGTATAATTTTCTTATCCAGATCATTGTACTTGTGCTGTCACAGCAGGAGCGGAGGGGGAAGGGCCCGAGAGCAAACACTTAGGAAGGGGCGGGAGAGTGTGGCAAATATCTGCACAGGCTTAAATAGCTCTGCTACCAGACAACAGACTGCAGTCTACAGAGTCGAGTTTTGAAATCAACAAGCTCACCCTTGTGGCTCCTCCATTTTATATGTTGACTTTTTGACAGTAGAATGTTTTTAAAGTTGACTTGAAGATGCTTTTTTTATTTTTATTTTTTTTAGCTTGCTAGTTTTCAGTGGATAGACTCGATTTTTACAGGGTGAAAAGTTAAGAAAACAATTTAATGCTTCAGATGTTTCAGACAGCATTATCTGGGTATGATGTCTGAACTGATGGAAGACACTTCTGCTTCCCACCTCAGATATTTAAGGTGCATGCATAGTAATCCTGAAGAAAATAACTGCTTGCTTTCATTAGGTAAATAATTTGCTGGCTTAAAGAGACTCTGAGGCACTCAGATCAGTTGTAGAGCTGCTTTTATCAACACATAAAAAGTTTAGGATTAACATATAAATGTGATTAGAGCAATTGTTAGGGAATTAACTCCTATGTTAGGGAATTAACTCCTATGGTTCTGCTATATTACATGAAGTCTGATAATTCAATTTTTTTTGGAAAATACTTTTGTATTCATACTTGTTCCATATTTAAAGTCAACAATGAGATTTCCTAATTTGTGTTTATGTGGTCATTAAATTCCCAAGTTGAAATTCCATGCCCTGTATAGTTACTGGCACAGGTGGGAACCTGTGTGATTAACTTTTGATCTCTTGCAAATCTTGGCAAATAATCACACAGTTGAACTATGTTAGAAAGACTCTTCCTACATATGATGATGGTTGTGAAGATGTTTAGTTGAACTTTTATGCTTGAACTGGACTGAATTAGGGAAATTCACTAATTCACTCAACAGAATGGACAGTATTTAGTTAGTTTTAAGGAAAGGTGCAACCTAAGAGGAGATCAAGTCAAGTTTGTACTTTAATTTGATGTTAATTTTTAGTGTAATTTTACACCTTTGATCCATTTTAATAATATTTTATGGATGTTTTAGAAAAAAACCTACTATATTGCAAATGAGGTGCTGAGAGAGTCTAGTTAGTTACATAGAGTAAGGTAAGGATCCAGTCATGCTTTCGAGGATTTTCTCTACTAGTTTTGAGTATCTGTATTTTCTTATATTTGTAGTAGGTTGCATAAAGATACTCTAGCACGTGCAAAATTTTGGTTCATATTATCATTGTTCAGTTTTGTAACTACATCTCAGACAATAATGAAAATAAAAAAGCTGCTTGAGAAACAACCAGCTCCCATAAGCACTTCATCTGTGATGGTGTGTCTTGTACATCTCTTTCCCATCCTTTCTCCCTCACTCCTTTTCATGTAGTTAAGCAGCAATAACCTTTAGCTCTAACTGAGCTGAACTGAATTTTCTGCATCCCAAAGTGAAAGGAAATGAGGTTTTCTGATTTACTGTAGCAAAGCTCTTTTTTTTTTTTTTTTGGTCTTAATTTTTCACTGCTAATCTTTTAGGAAGAAGGAATGAATTTGATGAACAGAGAAACAGTACATGAAAGGTAAGCAGTAAGGCAAACTAGAATAATTAAAGCAGTCTTCTGTAGGCCTGGGACAATACATTTCTTTTCTTCTTTATAGAGAAGTGCAAGTAGCAATGCAGATGAGCCACTCATGGGAGGAGAGCTTGAGCCTGGTAATGCATTCATGCTTTAATTTGTGTTTCTATCATCAGTATCAGGACACTAGAGACTCTCTCATGTCAACGTTTTCTTTTATAGTTTGACCTACAATTAAGGTGTTAGTGTATCACTGCTTTTGATCAGCAATTTTTCACACTAACAAGGCATAGAATTATCAGTTGTTTGAGGATACATGTGGGTTCCTTGGGCTGGTATGTCAAAAGAAAATTGCATGGATGTCTGCCCGTTCAAATTTTCTTCCATGTTCTGTTACTCATCAAGTAATGTTTAAGACTGTTACTGTTGTTGTTGTTAAGCATAACCTCATAAATGTTTACCTAAAAATTATGGATATGATGGAGGATAACTTTGGAATCTTACTCAGTTCCAGACCAAGCAGTCCTCTTCATGTTAAGGTACTTGCTTGTAAGATTAAATATATGTACTATTTACAGAGTGACAATGATTTTGAAAAATCATCATCACCAAAGCAAGTCGACTTTGTCCCAGTTTCTCCAGCTCCTTCACCTACCAGAGGAATAGGGAAGGTAAGCAAAATATGGTAATAATGGTTTTGTCTTGAGTAGTGCTAAATAAATTCAACCAAATTAGTAGCAAAAGGTTAAGCCACCTGCTGCTTTCTACCTCAGCTGCAAACAAGAAACTAGAGAGTAAACAAAAAAACCTCCCCTAAAACCCAAAACCAGAAACTACCAGCACATCTGGTGGATGGCACTCCTGTGGAGTGTTCAACTGTTAATCTGTGGTTAATAAACCTTATTCTTTGTCTGCCCTCCTCTTGGAATAAAAGGAAGGGGCATACATTCTTATTTTATGAACCATAGTCTGTTTAACTGGACTATGGTGAAGTAAATCCCTGTCACCTTGCATGTATTCTGCATGAACATTAAATCTGTCCAATTTTTTTCTTCTTTTTTCCTCTCAGTAAGAAAAAGCAGTATCCCAGTACACCCAGCCATACTGACTGGTTGCTTAAATTGATAGTGGGCTGCTTATTTACCTGTGATAAAGATCAGTTGTTACCACATGGGTGTGATGCAGTGTTTATATGTAAGTAACACAAACTGTTTTGCTCTCAGCAATGTTTCTCACCATCTTTGCAAAGTTTGGTGAGTAGCAGTGGGTTACCTCCAAGTCCCAGCCCAAGTCCAACAAGGCGGTTTTCAAGGTAAGTACCAGATCATATCAATAACAGAAAACTGTCATAGCTTGTTCACAGGAAGCTTTTGAAATAACAGAATTTGTTATATACATAGTCGATGTCTGATCGCAAACACGACTTCATTTATTCATGTAAACTCTGGTTTTTACAACGCTCTAAAATATTTAAGGTCCTCATGTCATAACATTGAGAAAGTGGGCTGCATTGTGGCATCTGTCTTCTCAGTGTAGGCTCTATATTGCTCCTAATCACATCTTAAGTAACTGAATTGAATCCCAAGGGGAAAAAACCTCAAGCAAACAGATTAAGGGTTTGTTGCTGATTCTGGTTTTAGTGGCCTTGGATGTTGTTTTGAGTGATGTGGGCGTACAATTAAATTCTGTTAGGCCCTAACAGTTCAGCAAAGTGCTGTCTGTCAACTCGGATCTAGTCAGTGCCTAGAATTGAACTTTTAGACTGCCCCAGCTGTGAAATAATGTGATTAAACTTTTTCTGTTAAGGTCTTTCTTCAGGGGGAAGAAAAAAAAGTACTTTAGATAAGCTGGTTTACTGCCTGTTTTCTTAGTTTCCTACTCAGTAGTTTATCTGAATATCTTTTGATTCTTTACATGTTTTCAGGCTTCCTTTATGAATGGTGATAATCAGTATAGCATATGCCTTCTTTTAGCAGGAGAAGCCAGAGTCCCATAAACTGCATTCGACCAAGTGTTCTTGGGTCAATAAAAAGAAAAGGTACAGTATTTGGTTTTGGTTAATATGCCAATGTGTAAATTTTATAATAATTCATATAGCTTTCCTCATAATTCTGTTCAATTGGATGATACTTAAAAGAGTAACTAGAAATAGACTGTATTACAGGTGACCAAATCAAACTATTTGTAGGGATAAAACAGTCAAATAGGTAAATTAACTTTTACTACTCCATAAAACTAATAGTTGTTCTGTTCTAATGCCTTTCCATTGCTCTAGTCATATAGATCTGATAAGAAACTAATGTGTCCTACTTAACAAAACAAGAAATGCAACTATAGGTATATTTCACAAATAGAAAATTTTGGAAGTCTTGGCTAACTGAAGTGCAGAGAAACTGTAGATTTAAAACCACCCTTCAAAACAAAAACTGATGCAGAGACCTGGTAGACACCTTACAGCTTTATTGGGAAATGTTTCTCTATCTTCCTACATTTTTCTTCAAGTTTAACTCCTGGTTATTTTATTGCATCTGTTTTTATATCTTCATGCTTCACCTTTCTAACAGAACACTGGCTGTGAGAGAGCTTTTAAAATACTTCTGAGTTCTGTCATACCCTATTTAAGCATATATCTGTCTTCTCTTCTAGTGTATTTGGAAATCAAAGTCAGTACATAAGTTTAGTGGTAATCTCGGACCTTGTTTTTATTGTTTGCAAGAGGAAAACAAGCTTTGCTTCTTCTCAGCTTCTCTGCTCTGGTGGAGCTAGTCACTGAATGGATAGCTGAATAAATTGAACTAAAAAGATTATTCTTTGCTACTGAAAAATAAATATCTGATATCTAAACCTCAGTTCATAACTCACTAAACTTTCCTGGAACTTGGACTAAAATGTTGCCAAGAAATACACAGTCTTTAAAATTTCAGCTTTGAGCTTCTGTGTTTTACATCTAAAATAACAATCTCTTGTAAAGCGTGTGAACCTCTATTCTGTTTGCTCTGGAGAAGTACATTGAAAATAGATTTTACTTTAAATGGGTAGTAATTTTTATCACTCCTTATCTCTTACCAAAGGTGTAACAGAGATAGAAGATCATCCAAAAAGATTATTCCAAGGATCCACCAACATGCTTACCTCTGAAGTTTCACATCAGGCGGACTTTGGGGGATGGTAAATGCTCTGCTATTTATTGTGTTGATTCCGTCAGAAGCACTGCAAGTCTTTTTTCACCTAGCAATGATCATGCTTGAAGTTGGGTATTTTTTATTATTAATACAGATATCCCATAATTTTGAAGCACTGAAATAATCACAATAAACAGGCAGTAACATTCACTACAGTTTTACAGCTTTTAAGACTGACTGTTAATGTGCTTCATGTATACAGGAGTTGAGCATGTTTAGGAAAAGATACCTCATGGCTGGCAATTTTTGGAGTCTAGTTTCAAGTTGTAATCAAATATAAATGCTAATGTTTGTGGGTGGATTGGGGTTTTTTTTCTTCTTTTTTTTGCTTGCTCTTAGTCATATAGGAAAATTAGTCTGTCTGACCCTCCCTGCTGGGAGGAGATAAAAAGTACTATGTAAAAAATCATAATGACTTGAAATAGCAAGGGATTTTCATTTGGTCTTTTAGTCAAGAGGTTAAATAATACATAGGGTGTGTCCACACAGCTATCAAGACAGGGTTGTTCACAGTACATTTTTGCCTCAGCCAGAGTACATAGCTGTGCATGAGCTCTGAGCCCATTGCAGTGGCAGAAATAAAACAGATGTTTTAAAGGTACTTTAAAAACATACCTTTTTGCACACCCTGTTCATAGTAGGCATGACAGTGCAGGTTCAGTTGCTGCACCTTGGTTTAGGAGATGGTAATTTTTAAGAACAATTTGATGCTATCACTGATGATAGATCACCTGTAGTTATAATGTTGTGTCCTGTGAAGTATGTCGTGAATGGTACAACTGAAGTATGTACGGTTCATAATTGGCTCTCCTGACAAGAGAGGCCTCTGGATATAGGCCAGCCCAGGACCTTGCTGGAGATGGGGTAAAGCTTGCAATGAATTGCTCAGCCCCATGCTTCTCATCTGTACACCATTTCTGGGTGAGCTGGAGGAGGAAATCAGCAGAATGTTACCTGTCTGTTTGGAAGGGACTGCAAGGTGTGTAGCTGCAGATTTATCTCAAATCACAGGGCTTACTCTTCCTTCAAAGATAGAAATTTGTTTTTAAAAATGGCTTTATAATGAGTGGAAGCTTGGATTTGAAACTTATCAGAAACAGTACCTCATTTCTCATATCTTGATGCTACTCTGTTTTCAGTCTGTCGTCTCATGCACTTGATGACAACAGAAGCAGTGCAGGCTCTTCCTGTGACTCACCAGCTGAAGTTGGCACCAACACAGACTCTCCAGTCTCACTTTCTGACTCCAGATCTCCTTTTTTACCAGTAGATCTTACGGCTAAGTTGCCCATTAATTGAGAAGAAGTCATCTGCTAATGGACACCAAGAAACAGGCTGGATATCAACAAGACTTTCTGTTGTGTGTAACTGATTCTGTTCCTCATAGGAACTTCCAGAAATGTCATTATTTCTAGAAAACTTCCAGAATAGTTCCTTGAGGAGGAATGCACGTTTCTAGTGATTTGTATGACATTTACTAAAATACAGTAAGCATTTGAATTGCAAACATTTGATGCTAACATCAGTAAGCAAGCTAGTGATTTACAAGGGATATCGTCTTGTTGGCATAAATGACAAATACTGTATGTACATTCTGCTTGTGGAAGACTTGGCTCTCCAACAGCCAACGGGCAGTGTCCTCACTAATATAACGTGGTGCTTATGTAGTAACAGATAACTTTCACATTTGTCCTCAGTCTGAAACCAAGGAAGCAGCTTAATAATTTGGTTTTTATTCCCCAAGTGTTAGGTATTTATATTTTTTGTTCTTCATATGAAAGGGAGCATTTTAGTGGGGGGAACTGATTCTTGTGTTCTGTTATCATTGGCTGTTAATCAATTCTGTGTTCTAATAGACATCAAAAGAACAAGTTGGTGAATTGCCAACTGAAATTTATATGTTGGATTTTATTCATGATCACGACTGTTGTTGTGACTAATTCCAAATTAGATGTGGAATGTTCTTCTGTATTTTTTTTTCTTCCCCATTTAGATGATGTATTGGAATGGTAGATGCTTTGTTAAAGGTCTTTTCATAGGAAAAAAATAATAATGTTTGTAATAAAACATTAAATCCTGAGGTTTTAGTATTTAGTACTTTGGAAGTGCATTATTTTAACAGACAGTATTTGTCCTCATATATGACTTTTGTTGGACAAATACAGTAAAGAATCTTGAATGCCTTTTTACAGCCTGAGGTGATCAAACATGTTTAATCTCCTGATGTCACTTCCTCAAACAATGGCATCAAGTTCTTTCTGCTGTTGAAAATTTCAGATGCTGATTGGAAGCCTTGAATTTGATAATCTGAGATGTTTCAGGATTCTTGTACTATATCTGAAAAGACAGTGGGTTAAGGTACCCTGATCCCAACTCTGAAATTCCCCAAACAGGAGGAATCTCCAGCCCCCACCATAGACAGCTGTTTCAGGTTTTCCAACCTCATTTTGGTTGTTGACTCCTGTTACGTGATTGAACTTCCCCAGCTGGGTCCCCGTTTGTACAGATGTACGTGTCTGTGCTATGTGGTTTCCAGCCTTCTCTCCAGAGAGGTTAATAACGAAGCAAAATGTTTTATTTTTAAACACTACATCTTTGTAATGTGTGATAATGTGAGAAAAATATGGAAACTTCAAGTAGGAGAAAAACCCATGCTGAACTCTGAGCTCTGCTGTGAAAGGACTACGTGGATGAAGCTTTGACTGACAGCAGCCAGCAAAATTAGAAATGGACAACTTGGAGTGCAAAGACCTGGTGACCTGAGGACCAACGACCAGCTTCCATATGTCCTTATTGTAGAAAGAAAATAGAATGTATTTAATAGTTTTACGTGGTTCAAGTAAGATGTGACATGGTTTACTTCTGATTTCATTCCTCTTAAATTATTGTAATGGTCAACTTCCTGATTGCAGTTCCTTTTTCAATTCAGCCTGCCCTTCATCCCCGTGGCAGACGGACAAGCTTGTGTTTAATGTCTGTTTGCTCTGTCTAACATGGCATAGTTTGGTTTTGCAATTTCAGGTATGTGCCAAAGAGTTGCTGTGCGTTCACTCTTTTGTGGTGAGGGCAAGACTTTTTTGCTTTTGTTTTTAAATCTTGCTTATTTCTAAAGAAAGAACCTCCTGGTGTCTCTTCCAGTCTTTTTTAAAAGATGCATCAGTAGAGGAGTTTTAATAGTTGCGTGTGGGTCAACTTGTCTCTTTGCTGTTGAATATTTATGCTATTTTACAAATAAGTGCCAATAAATGGAAAAATAAATGTCTTGCTGTTTCTGGATTTTGTTAGAGAGGTAACTGGTAATAACCATATTCTTGTTTTCAGCTGTAATTAAATGTTTTTAAATCAGAATATCTGTTGTAACTCACTTCCACTCGGTTTAGCTTACATTTAAGTTGGCCTTAAAATCTGCAGCGGACTTTACTGTTTTCCTAGTGCAATGCTATCTCAAAGGTCTGTGACAACTCTAGGAAAACTGAAGAATAAAACTGAACTTTAATAGCTAAACGTGTCCCTAGTTTATACCTAGAGGAACTTGTGGTGAAATAGTTTGGAAGAGAGAAGCTACAGCTGGCTGGTGGACACTACTGAGGCTCTTGCCTCTTGGGAAGAAGTGGGGAGTCTCTGTGGTTTGCCTTAATAGGGCAATTAATGCTGATGGAGGAGAGAGAAATAGTTATGTATCTGCAGTCATTCCTTTCCCTGCTTTTGCAAAATAAAAATAATACTGAACTTGTGGAAAAAGGCATCTTAATTTCGTGCCTGTCCATACCCTGCAGAAGCTGCGGTTTTGCGCCCTGGAGTCAGGAGATGTGTATAGTTTTTTCCCACTGAAATGAAACAGTAAATTTTGGAACCAAATTATCCTGCAAAATACATGTTTGGGTTCAGGGAATTAGGGTGTTATACAACAATGTGCATAATCAACCTTGTACACACATAGTAACTCATGCTGTTAGTATTGCCTGTGTTTTACTAACTCCCCATTTACTCCCGAACAATGAATATTGAAGTTTTGCTTGAGTAAGTCTCATGGTTACGGGACTGTTGCGTATGATGTTCCTTAGCTGATCTGAGATTATACCACAAGGGTCTGTGTCTTTGTAAGTGGGCAGCTTTCTTGTCTCAGGCCATATTGGAATTATTATTTATGATCATATATATATATATAAAT